TTCCTTTTCTTTTCTCTTCAAAACTTGGTCAAATGCAGGATCCTTTACTAGTTTTCAAATTTGTGACCCAACAAAAATACCTTCCTTAACCTTTGCATCACTCAATCTAGGAAATTTGTCTTTTAAGTACTTAAATGCCTGTCCTTTCTGGGAATGTCATACCTGTGACAAAAGTTTTCATTAAACCCAGCTTGATATGAAGGGATGGAAGAAGAACATCTTTCGGGTCCACGAGAGACTTGGCAACAATATTTTTCTCGGTAGAGTCAAGATTTGTTGCAGGCCAGTCCACTTGAATGTAATGTGATTTCCTATCCCTACTGTCCCACATACATAAAAAGCAACAGTATTTAGTGCACCCCAGTTGCATTCCTAAGAGTACAGCGATGACTTTTAGATTGCCACATATTTTCCACTTGTGCTCAGCATAATTGATTGAGTCTAGGAGGGCTGTCATGTTTACATAAATATATATTCTATAATAGAGTGTAGTTTTATTATATGCTGATCCGAGGAGTTTTACAGGAAAAATGCCAACAAAAATTTGAAATAATTGAAGATGCACTATTTTGTAATGAAACATTTTTTTACAAATTTTACTATAAAATCTTTCTCATATATTTTGTATTATTTAGATTACGTCAATCATTTTAAATTATAATTTAAAATGAATAAAAGTTTTAAATATTTCACGGACCATATTTTAGCTCTTGTGGACCACTAGTTGGGAACTGCTGCTCTAAAGCAAGAGCTAATCGGTCATTTTTATAGTGATTTTTGAATTCAGCAGATGAAAATGCATAAGAATATGCTAATTTTGAGCCTGAAACAAAATCATTGTTGTGTGGTAGTTCATTATGGGACAGGTATACAATTCTGCAAACGAAAAGTTACAAACACAAGAAAGATACAAAATTCAATTATCACACAAAAACTTTACTTTAGGAATCCCAACTTAACAAACTTTATGCCTCCTTTATACAGAAAAAAAAAAGGAACAGGCTTGTACTCCACCGTCGGCAGGGTTCGTACACATGACAACAAAAAAATACTTATATCACTAACTTATATCTATCTTATAACTAATGAAAAAAATAAGAGCGTAGGATAGATGAATATGGAAACAAAAGGTAGGGAGAATAGAAATACCAGGGATTTCTTTTGGTACGTATATACACTGTTCGAAGTATGGCGCCTCTTTGTTATCTTTTTCCCCAAGGTCTGTTCTGCTCTTCTCGATATTGAAGAACTCTGCTCATTTCTTGGACTCTTCGTTGTCCTCACGGCCCTTTTCTTTTATCTTTTTCCTTTCTTGCTGGTTCAGGTCACGAGCACTCCTTTTTCGATCTGCTCTCTTCGGAGTCTCTCCTCAGAATGTTCTATTTCTGACCGGTCTTTTCCCATGGTCCCACTCCCTCTCTTGTTCTTATTTTTTAAGAAGAAGTAATCCTACCCCAGGGGCAAAAGGGGTAGATCAGAAGGTCTTAGAAGAGACAAAGAAACAGGAAGGAAGGATAGGATTAATTCAAAAAATATATATATACAATATCATGGCTGACGGCCACAGTTGTCCAGTTGATGTCATGAAACAATTCATGCTTGTATCTCCAGAATAAACTCTTCTATTAGAAAAACAGATTATACATTTCTGGTTTTGTGTTCCACAAGCATGTTGCCCTTTGGTTTATTGTGCAGATGATTCTGACTTCACTGTACATACAGTTATTACATTTAGTGTGTAAATGCAAGTTTATACTATACATGTTTTACTGGACAAAGACTATGAACAAATTTCTTGAAATACTGTGGAAATAAACAGATAGCCTAATTATGAAATGAAAGTGCTTATTAAGTTTGTGAGACAATTTTCCAATCAGATACATTACAGTAGGCCTATTGTTAGTACCAAATAGATATAATGTGTTATATTTTTAAATCTGTGACTCCATTACAATGTAATTTTTTAATGAAAATGTTTTTATTTATTTAAAAAAGATAGATAAAGAATAATTTTCTACTTAGAAAAAAAGCACTTCAACTAAGCAAATCTGAAAGTTAGAAAGTTTAACATAGTAATACTTACATGAAATTTATTTATGTAACTAATTATAGTTTGAATGTACAATTTTTTAATTAATGGCAAGTAATGTTTAAAAAATTTCAAAGTTAAAAATTATGCAAGTAAACGTGGCAAAATTATTTTGTAACTTTGTAACATATATAGTCTAGTTGTAGGATCCTGATTAAGTAAAACCTGTTTAACTTAGATTCTTAAAGCCCTTTAAAGCCCCACATATTATCTGACCAAGTAAAAATAATTTTTACATACACCAGAGTAATAATACACCACACAATAAATACATTACAGCAAGATTACAACAATTTTAATTGCCTTAAAGCCTTAATTTTATAACAATATTGTATTTTTTTTTAATCACCTTATACCAAAAATTCTGTATTGCTGTATTTTTGATTATTCAAGATATGGTCTTGCGTAGGTACAAATCTTGTAGTATATATTTTTAGTGTATGATTTGTTCTAAATTATGATTATATNTTGAAAGATATTACAAGGTTTTTTATATCCTTTTTAAAATATACTTTCCAGATTGTAAGATTTTGTCAATTTCATTTGTATATATACAAAAACTAATTGTTTAAAAATTACTTATTGAGCCATTTGTGCCAAAATTCATTCGTTATTTATTTTTTATAATTTATTGCTATGTATGACAATAAATCTAAAAGTTTAAATAAATAAAGAAATATTTTCAAAACTATTGCAAGTTAAATGGCTTTATGACTACAACCTATTTTGATGTTATTCAAAATAGAAAAGAGAAATCAATTTCACATTCTATACTCTTAATTTTATTACTAAATGACAATAATAATTATAAGAAAAAAGTTGTTAAAAAATTTTTAGCACTTAACAGATACATCTATTAATCCTAGTTCTTAGAGAATATTTCAGTAATACAAGTATTGCAAGTATTTCTGCAAAAGGTAGTATCATTTCATGACCCATTAAAATTTTAATGCTACCCATAGTTTGAAAAACACTGGTCTGGATAAAGAAAGATGAAAATTAGGGAATGATCAACAAGACAAATTACAAGTTGGTCTAGGAGGAACATGGATAAAAGTATTATGTGGAGAAAGTAATACATTGAAATATCAATGTATTACTTTCTGATCAAAACAATTAAAGAATTTTGAGAATCCAAATCTTATTCATGCTACCTCACTTCAGTCAGTATAAGTTAAATGATCTAGCTTAAGGAACTGCTACCGACCGTACAGGTGGGCACTAATTGACCAGAGATTGAAAATTAGTGAAGAAGAGAAATCTCAAAACTGAGCTTGAAAAATTAAGTTACAGTGACTCCATAAGATTTCCATTCTGATAACTAAAGTTTTTACTGTTTATCAATCTGGTGTTTAAATGTCAATTTCTCATCAGATATCACTGTTAGGTCATTTTAAGAATGAATATAATTATTCTGCTGATTGCAAATATAAAAAGTGTAATAATTTGGACTCTTTAAAAGAGAATAACACATACTGTATATCTGTTTTGGATGAATTATTTTTAAGATTGAAAGATTCATCAAGGTGAATAGAAAATTGAGATCAGCTTGTAGAGTTTCAGGATCATAGTTGTTGATTTTTAGATCATCAGCATAAGCTATAATTTAAAATTAACACAAGGAATAGCAATTTATATTATATATTTTTATGTCGTTTATAATTAATTATATTATTTTTAATATAATGGGAAGTTATCAGAATACAGAATATTGTTTACTGAGAAATATAAAAAAACAAAATTATTTTTAAAACATTAAAATTTACTAATGCTTTTCTCCAATTGAATGGACTTCGGGTAAATGTCCAAAGTCCATTTAAATAAATGAAAGTATTAATATAAATTTTAATTTGTTAACATTTTCATCTAACTGTCTAATGTTTGCTGATTTTGTTTTAATGTTTTGTGTGAGTTTTTTCTGTTATTTATAGTTTTCAAATATTTAAAATAATAAATATATATTATTATTTGATCAATTTGTATATTTATAAAATATGTTTACTAGTGATCGTTTTAAAGGCGAAAAAATACCAACTGTTGAAGAAGCCATTCAAGCTAGTTTGGAATTAGGTTTGAGAATTATATTTGATGTAAAGGAATCAGATGAAAGGGTGAGTAATTTATTTACAGTTTTTAAATAGATGACTTTCTTGAATTGTAAAACATTTGTAATTAATATTATAACCAATGAAGATAAAATTATTAAGAAAAAATAAATTTACCTATTAATAACATCATTACATTATACTGTATATATATTATAATTATTAGATACTATATAACTTTTTAATTATTACAACATCTAAATTGAAATATATTAAATCTAAATTTATGTTAGTTTCTTAAATCTTGAATAAAATCATATTAAATTTAACAAGTTTCTATAAAATAGACAATCATGTATTATTATCATTTTTAAACATTAAATAAAACATTATTAAATATTATTTACTACATTAAGGTTACTTCTAGCTTTCAAAATTATATTTGTATGAAATACAATAGATTATATTAACACTATAAGACACGAAAAATATACTACAATAATAATTATTCTGGTTATTGTAAAATTCTTATGACTAATAAGGAAAACTGTTCATTCCACACACAAAATAAATAATGTCACGAGAGCTAGAGAGTGTATTTGTTCCTAAGAAAAACAAAACTTATATTTTTTTTTTTGTTTGGCCTGAAAATTTGTGACACATATATAGACATGCAATTACTTCATGGTTTGAATCTAAATGAATTTAATGAAACTGTTCTTAAAATTAATCATTGAGAAGATAAAATGATAGAAAATAATAAACAATTAAACAAAATTCTGACATGTTTATCCTTATTGATTTATCTTATTAATGTAAGTTTTAGTTATACTAAATAATTTTTAAATTATTCATTTATATTTTAGGCAAAACATAATGGAGCTCACGGAGTAGAATTTGATATTTCTTTTACAAAAGATAACATTGCTGTTTTGTTTCACGACGATACGGTTGATAGAACAACAAATGGATTCGGATCATTAAGTGATATGACATTTGAAGAAGTCAGAAAACTTGATGCATCTGCTCAACATGCATATCAGTATGTAATTTTTTTAAATATTTATAACATATATGTCTAAACAGAGATTTCACTATCAATTTTATATTAAGAGAAGTAAATTTTATTTAAACAAATTGTATTCCAGAACTGAATATTTGATTTTAAAAACTTTTTGTAGATAATCATATATATAATTGATGAATTTAAAATATTATACATCAATTATATTATGGAAAAAAGTAAGAGTGATATGCAAATGATTTGAACTGTCAATATTCAATACAGAAATTTTGCTGACTCAGTTATATCATTATAATGCTATTTTTTTTTTAAATTATAAATATTTTTGAGTAGTTTTAATATTTTCAGTTGTTTCACTAATTACTTTGTTTTTACATTATTATTATCACATATCATCATAGTTTAATTTGTATAAACTGCAAAGGATATTTTAGATGCTTGTAAAATTTCAAAGTTTATTATATTTTCCACATTAATTACATGAAATTAATTTGAGTTAATTTGATGTATTATGAGGTAAGAACCAGAGGATTCTAGCCACATTTTTTTTTCACTTTTTTGTTTTTTTACTCTAATCTGTTTTTTGAACAATCGTATTTCTGTTAACACGGTAGTTTGTCATTTTACAAACAATAGAGGAGTCAAGGGAAGTGCTTGGCATGAAAATTTGGTTCTAATCTCAAAAGTTGGCAAAACTTCAAATTCTTTTGCTGTAAAATTCTCTCTAAATCAGATAAAACCCTCTGATTCCCACTTCATGGTATGTTAGAAATCAACTTGTTTTGTATACTTTAAAATATTCATAGTAAATTCCAATTACTCAAAGTAACTTATGTGAAAATAAAAACATATATTTTTACATTGCTTCTATTGTATAATTTTCTGATTTACAATTTCATTTGCTATGTACATTTTATTTATAGGAATAACTTATGGGGAAAAAAGTTATAATATTGAATATAAAAAAATTATAAAATTGAGGAAAAAATATAAAATAAGTACCATAATTTCCTACAAATAATTCAAGGATAATTAATCTGTGTTTGAAAAGTCAATTTGAAAGCAGATGTGGATTGTATGTAGGAAATTATGGTAAATATAATCATTTATAAAAATTTTTTAAAATTTTATTAGATAAAATTAATACTATGTACAGAATAAAGTATATTTATTAAATCAACTTTCATTTTGTTTTTTCTTCCATTTTTATTTTCTTTTGCAAATCATCTTTACACTATTTTTTACCTTTATGTAATCAATCAAAAGACAACACAATTACAGGTTAATATTAAATAATATTTTACTCAGTAGCCAAGAACCAGCATAAGAACCATTCACTTTGAAAAGGAAATGTTTTTGTCCATTTTTAAAAGGACTTTTAAAAATGGACAAAAACATTTCCTTTTCATCTTCAGGCTGGTGATCTAAATTGGAATTGCATGATTTTTGAACAGGTCTCAATCTCTACATTGCCATTGCTGATTGGAGGAAATCATCTTGCATGGATTGTGATATTTCTGCTGAATGGATATATATTTTCCACGAGTTTGGAATTGTGCTATCCTCTTTATAGTTGATGGCTTTTTATCTTGTGGCCACATCTCCACAAGTGTTTATAGCAGTGTTTCTCAACCTCTAACAAATCATCACCCCCCTTCACTTTGTAAAAAATTAAACATTTATTTACTCAGAATATGTATTATATTTTGATATAATTAACAAAATTAAAATTAAGCATTATTTGCTGTGAATCCCTGCTGCAAACTTCAAAATTTCTATGCCGAGGGCCAAGGCTAATGCCAAATTCATATTGTATTGAATAGACTGGACTGGTCACTAGTATAATGTTATTTGTTTAAATATTGTACAATATAACGAATAAATATGTAATTATTCTTAATATAATGTTTTGCTATATCACCCAGAAAATTGTTTTTTGCACCCAAAATATAAATTGTTACCAATCACCCCCCCAACATGGAAAAACGCCCACATGGGGGTGATATTGCCCTCGTTGAGAAACACTGGTTTATAGGAAACCCACATATCTCCCCATTTTCATACTGTCACACTCTCATGATTCCTTTTCTTGTAAGTTGGCAGCATTTAACACCTTAATACATAGAGCATATACACATGTATCTGATCCAAAGTAAAGAGAACAGGAATTTTGCATTATTATAAGCCAGGTGGTCAGTCATGGATTCGATGATAAGATCATCAAAGAGTTTATCAAACATCATGCTGTGCATGGGCATAATACTTCTAGTACCCAATCCACTCCAGATACATACAAGGTAGTAATACATAATGCAACATAAGTGCCTCTATACAGAGAGATAGCTTGCAACTACAATATCAATGTGAACTTCAAAAGGAGTGTCAGAAAATGAAGCAAATAAATGAATCTAATGACACACAGAAATATACAGTTATATGTAACTTGAAGAAAAGCTGAATGAGGGGAGACACCGTACCATACAGAGATGTAGCAGACCAAACAAGACAGTGATCTATGACCAAAAAGTGTGAAGCTTGCCAACATAGCATCATCTAATACAAAATATGTCTTAGCACACAGGGATTACATTTCTATTTTCTTTCACAAGGAGTCCATCCATATTTAACTAAATAGAAATGCCAATCTTCAATACTTGCTGGGGGTATATTCCATCCTGATATGGACCATAGGTCAAACAAAGAATTAGTGTAAGTAGGAGCCACATGTTGGCACATAATCACCTGCCTAATGGAACACCTAGCTGACATAACTACAGCTTATTAACCATTGTTGTAGCAGCATATGCCAGAGACCTAGATGTAGAATTCCATTTCAATTGGACAAAAATCCTACATAGAACAGCAGATAGATCACATGTCAGATATCTGGAATTAATGGAAATTTATAAGGCTGTCACAAGAAAAAAAGAGGATAGCACAAACCCAAACCCATGGAAAATATATATCCATTCAACAGAAATATCACAATTCATACAAGATGATAATTACATTTCCTTCAATCAGTGATGATTAACTATCCTCCAATCAGCAATGGCAATGTAGAGATTGAGATTTGTTCAAAAATCATGCAATTCTAATTCAGATCACCAACCTGAAGACATCCTTTTAAGAATTGTCGAAAATGTTTGCTTTTCAAAGTGAGTAGTTTTTTTGCTGGTTTCTTGGCTACTGAGTAGAACATTCTTGTATAATCAATGAAACCTAAAATAGCATAATATATCTACCAGGCTTGTATGAGTTGTAAATTTAAATTCTAATAAATATACCTAAACATCAAAAAACCAGCAAATAATGAAAATATTTAGACAAAACAAATGTTTTCTTCCATTTTAAATGAATATATTGTTTAAATATATTCATTATTTGCTGTTTTTTTTATTTAGATGTATTTATTACTATTTATTACCAAATTACACCAGTATTGTCATGGAGATAGATTTAAATCCTGTTCCAAATTAATCTTTTCCTCTAGACATCTTTTAAGTTGTTAATTAAATGAAAATTAATTTTATCTAAGAGATGGTAACAACATCTTCCTTTAGTTTAAATTTTGTAAAATAGTTTAATTAAAATATAACTTTATATTAATCCATAGTAAATCTTATAATAGTTGGTTTATACTGAATAACTGCCTTTAATTCTCTAATTAATTATAATTAAATAAATGTTTCTGCTGTATTTATCATCTGTATTCTGGTTCAAAGTATAAAATTGAAAACAGAATATGCAGTTATAGCTATTTATCTTACACTTTGAACCTGAAGAGGAGTGATAAATTATTATTTATGATTGAGGGCCCAATTTTTAAATTGCAGACCCATACATTTCCACTGTTGTCTGTCTGTCTTCCATTATTCTTGAGAACAGGATTTGATAGATAACAATTGGGACCAGATATGGAAAATCTAGGGACCAGAGGACCTGCCCTGATTAACTACATATCTGAACTGAAAGTCACATGATTTTTTAGCTTAAAAAAATGATTAAAAATTGCAGTCTGGCATTATGACAATGTCACAATAAATAATTGCTAGATTCTAATTGTTCAGTTTTACTTTTCTGCAGTTCTAATAATTGATTTGTGTATTTTTTTTCCTTTGTAATTTCATCTAACATCTTGCTTTTTTTACTAAGAAGATAATTACTTCATTTATTTATTTTCATTATGTATTCTTCAAAGAGCTTCATATTTTTTCTGTATTCTTTTTCAAAATTACAGTTGGACTCCAGAATAATATATTGTTTTAGTTTGGTTTAAAAATATAAATTCAAAATGAATATAAAGCTTGTTTTTATTTTTGTTTTTGTGTTCTTGTATTAACAAGAAATTAACTGAAGAGATCTCTACTGATGGCTTGATACTTGCATAGAGATACCTTTTAACTTTGAAAAAAATTTATTGATTATATTTTAATGAACTTGTAAGATAGGAGGACAAAAATTCAAAAATAATAACTGGAAATAAAAAGATGAAAATATATCCTAAATTTCCAAAACTCAAATTCAAACTTACATTAAATATTATATTCAAACTCCCCATAAAATATTACATTATATATTATATTCAGTTTATTTGCCCCATAGAAACATAACAAAAGATAAAATGAAAATGATAAAATACATATAAATTATAAAAAACTATTGAACAAGAGGTAAATTTACAAAATGTATAAAAGTTATGAATTGTGTTTAACATAAAAAATGTAAAAATGATAAATTATTAGATAAGAACAAGATGTGTATACTATATTATTATATGGGTCTGCATAGTGTAGCTGGCAACTTGACTGGCACCATAAGCTGAAGTTGCAGGTTCGAGTCCTGCTTCAGGCTGATTCTTTACTTCCAGAACCTTTAAATTAACTATTAAAATATTAATTTAATTATAATTGTTAAGTTTAGCAAGAGTGGATGCCTAACACCCGCCTTTAGTGCCAAATTGCTTAGCATTTATTTAATAATATTAGTTGTAATATAGCCTGATATAATTCAGCAATCATTTGGCTTTAATTACAAAATAAACTGTAAAGTATTTTTTACACTTGTATTTGAAAAAAGTAAAGTCAAAAAATAAAAGAACAAATGTCTAGATTAGTGTTTCTCAAACATTTTGTTCACATGACCCAATATATTTGTGTTCATAATAATTTTTCAACCCAAATCTTTGCAATATAAAATTTTTTTAAAACCCAATAAACTGGAATCACTTTATATTATATTATATAACGAAATAAAATTTGCATTATTGATAATAACTTCTACATGTGAAATTTAACATTGAGTACTTTTCTTTTAAGAGTGGTTCAGACCAATTTTGATTTGTAACAAATAACTTATTTTAATTTCAGTTTTTATTATTAAAATTTAACTATTACAAATGTAAGACTGACTATTGTAAATAAAACAAACTGTTTCAAAATTATTCAGGAATCTACTTTACTTTGAAAGATATTACAAGGTTTTTTATATCCTTTTTAAAATATACTTTCCAGATTGTAAGATTTTGTCAATTTCATTTGTATATATACAAAAACTAATTGTTTAAAAATTACTTATTGAGCCATTTGTGCCAAAATTCATTCGTTATTTATTTTTTATAATTTATTGCTATGTATGACAATAAATCTAAAAGTTTAAATAAATAAAGAAATATTTTCAAAACTATTGCAAGTTAAATGGCTTTATGACTACAACCTATTTTGATGTTATTCAAAATAGAAAAGAGAAATCAATTTCACATTCTATACTCTTAATTTTATTACTAAATGACAATAATAATTATAAGAAAAAAGTTGTTAAAAAATTTTTAGCACTTAACAGATACATCTATTAATCCTAGTTCTTAGAGAATATTTCAGTAATACAAGTATTGCAAGTATTTCTGCAAAAGGTAGTATCATTTCATGACCCATTAAAATTTTAATGCTACCCATAGTTTGAAAAACACTGGTCTGGATAAAGAAAGATGAAAATTAGGGAATGATCAACAAGACAAATTACAAGTTGGTCTAGGAGGAACATGGATAAAAGTATTATGTGGAGAAAGTAATACATTGAAATATCAATGTATTACTTTCTGATCAAAACAATTAAAGAATTTTGAGAATCCAAATCTTATTCATGCTACCTCACTTCAGTCAGTATAAGTTAAATGATCTAGCTTAAGGAACTGCTACCGACCGTACAGGTGGGCACTAATTGACCAGAGATTGAAAATTAGTGAAGAAGAGAAATCTCAAAACTGAGCTTGAAAAATTAAGTTACAGTGACTCCATAAGATTTCCATTCTGATAACTAAAGTTTTTACTGTTTATCAATCTGGTGTTTAAATGTCAATTTCTCATCAGATATCACTGTTAGGTCATTTTAAGAATGAATATAATTATTCTGCTGATTGCAAATATAAAAAGTGTAATAATTTGGACTCTTTAAAAGAGAATAACACATACTGTATATCTGTTTTGGATGAATTATTTTTAAGATTGAAAGATTCATCAAGGTGAATAGAAAATTGAGATCAGCTTGTAGAGTTTCAGGATCATAGTTGTTGATTTTTAGATCATCAGCATAAGCTATAATTTAAAATTAACACAAGGAATAGCAATTTATATTATTATGTCGTTTATAATTAATTATATTATTTTTAATATAATGGGAAGTTATCAGAATACAGAATATTGTTTACTGAGAAATATAAAAAAACAAAATTATTTTTAAAACATTAAAATTTACTAATGCTTTTCTCCAATTGAATGGACTTCGGGTAAATGTCCAAAGTCCATTTAAATAAATGAAAGTATTAATATAAATTTTAATTTGTTAACATTTTCATCTAACTGTCTAATGTTTGCTGATTTTGTTTTAATGTTTTGTGTGAGTTTTTTCTGTTATTTATAGTTTTCAAATATTTAAAATAATAAATATATATTATTATTTGATCAATTTGTATATTTATAAAATATGTTTACTAGTGATCGTTTTAAAGGCGAAAAAATACCAACTGTTGAAGAAGCCATTCAAGCTAGTTTGGAATTAGGTTTGAGAATTATATTTGATGTAAAGGAATCAGATGAAAGGGTGAGTAATTTATTTACAGTTTTTAAATAGATGACTTTCTTGAATTGTAAAACATTTGTAATTAATATTATAACCAATGAAGATAAAATTATTAAGAAAAAATAAATTTACCTATTAATAACATCATTACATTATACTGTATATATATTATAATTATTAGATACTATATAACTTTTTAATTATTACAACATCTAAATTGAAATATATTAAATCTAAATTTATGTTAGTTTCTTAAATCTTGAATAAAATCATATTAAATTTAACAAGTTTCTATAAAATAGACAATCATGTATTATTATCATTTTTAAACATTAAATAAAACATTATTAAATATTATTTACTACATTAAGGTTACTTCTAGCTTTCAAAATTATATTTGTATGAAATACAATAGATTATATTAACACTATAAGACACGAAAAATATACTACAATAATAATTATTCTGGTTATTGTAAAATTCTTATGACTAATAAGGAAAACTGTTCATTCCACACACAAAATAAATAATGTCACGAGAGCTAGAGAGTGTATTTGTTCCTAAGAAAAACAAAACTTATATTTTTTTTTTTGTTTGGCCTGAAAATTTGTGACACATATATAGACATGCAATTACTTCATGGTTTGAATCTAATATATATATTATTATTATTATTATTATTATTATTTTAATACTCATTACTCATTAACCTATTTTTTATGTATATAGGTATGCTTATAACTTTTTCTGACAATTTTTGGTATAAATTTTGCAACAGAAATGTTACAGCCACCAAAACTAGCATTTTCATTAATGTTTGGTTTAATTTTATGTGGTTGTTGCATTAAAAATTTTGTTTTATACAATTTATATGACTTTTATCCATTTAGGTAAATTGAACATTGAACATTCAACTTTTCTGTTACAAAACTCCTTTCTTCAGTTGCAGGTGCAACATAATTTTGTAGTTTGAATTCTAGAAATACATTTAAAATGATGGTTAACATGTTAATATCAATTAGCATTTGTAATAGATACTTGAAAATTAGGATCATGAAATATAGTCATTTGATTTGAACAGATAGTGCCATATAAAATTATAATGTAGAAAAGTGTGTATAATCTAACAACCATCAAATTAAACAGAAACCTTGTGAATAATCCTGTCATATACTTTGCACGAAGATAATGTTCCCCTTGCAACAATTGTAACAAAATACTCCAAATTGGTAAAGAATCAACCACCTAAAATAAATCAAAACTTCAGAAAATATTAGAAAACTTTAATTTTCTAATATTTTCTGAGAATATAAATAGAACTGTGTTTTGAAACATAAATACTATACAGATAAAAGTAAATCATGAACATTACCACATCACCACTGTGATAGCTGTGGGAAGACAGACAGTATGCTACTTGTGTATATGCCATTATTTCTAAGATCAATTTTTGGCACTTGGAGAGCTAGATACAAAAATTATCCCATTTTTGTTTTTCATAACCAAATACATCCAATTTCTTTTAATAGATCATTTATTTTGTGTATGGGTTAGAAGGTTTCCCTTATAAGTAAAGTTGTATAGAGAAAACTATGCTTGCATATAAAGAACTAAACCTGAACATTAGCCTTAACAAATTGCTAAATAATGAAAATTAATCTGGCATTTAGTGATTAATTTAGTAAAAAGTATACTTTTGTAACATTATAAAATGAATTGGCAAACATAAAAGTGATAATCATCTTGTGGTTTATTCAAACTATTAATTGTCAGAAAATCTGACTAATTAGTTACAAAGTTTTAAGAATTTATTTATAATTTTACTTGTTACTTTTGGTCAATGCAGAATTTTTTTTAAAGATTCATCAAAAATTTTTTCAGAGTCTATTTCATCCTCTTTGTAGACTGCATTTCATAACAAGGATACACTACTCAAAAATCTTTTAAACTGCAGCCAAATTTATTATCAATTTCAAATGTTTTCGGTCATCTTTTAATGACTTTTATCAAGAACGAACAAAAATCGAATGCTGCCGGATTTCAATTAACATTGTATTGTTCATTAATACAAATCCGGCAGCATTCGATTTTCGTTCATTCTTAATAAAGGTCATTAAAGATAATCGAAAACGTTTGAAATTGATAATAAATTTGGCTGCAGTTTAAAAGATTTTTGAGTAGTGTATCCTTGTATATTTTATCCATTCATTTATTGTGTTTTTTATATCATTAAATAATTTGAGCAATTTTGACTGATTTGAATTGGAAAATATTTTCATATCCAACTCATTCACCCAATTTTGTTCCAGGTGATTTCCTTTTATATAACAAAATGAAAAAAGAATCATTACAGTAGAGTCCATTTAACAGAACATAGAATAAGGAAGCAATTTGCTTAAGAGATCACTCTCTTACATTCCCAATTTTCTCCCCATGTTTTACATGTCCCAGGACTCCTGTTAACAGAGCTCTAGTTAGCTGAGCAGCTTGTTTAAATTAAATGAGTGCCATATTGGCAACATTTTTAGAGCATAGGGGGGCACTAATCTAAGAAAGATTTATAAGGATCTATCTTTAATCTTATAGTACATCACTGCTCGCAGCATGTGGTGACTGTCATTAGTGTCCAAACTTGTCTTGGCTAAGCTTGAAGACATTAATTGGGAATATTTGCCAAAATGCAGAGAAAATGCGGTTTTAAACGGGAAATTGAAATGCTGTTTACTTTGTTTCTGATCAGTTCAGTCACTTTTTATATTGATGCATGCTTACATGCTTATGAGCTTGCAGTAAGGGAGACCAAAAAAGAAAATTTGTTTGTATTTAAAAACTTTTTTGAATGCTATTTAATGTGTGAAATTTTGTTAGCTCGAATTAAAGTGAAATATTGCCTTGTTTCCCATGCAGAACATTTGCAAATTAATAAACTTGAGTTTACAAGCTTTTACTGAATTGACTCAATTAAAGTTTTATCTGTCAACTAAATAGAAATTTTATTGTCATTTTATAATTATTTTCCTTTATTTTGTAGATTTTTACAAAATGAAAAATATTAAGATCAAAATTATTTTAAAACATCATAAAAATATGGTTGCATTTTCAAAATAAATTAAAATAATGAAAAAGCTAGTCAAAAACTCTGAAAAAGCTTATCTTTTTGTAAAAAAATCAATGCATTTCTTAAATAATTTTTCAGAAAGAAATTGAAAGACCATCATGAGATGAATTTGAATGAAATGCCAAATTTTCTGTAAAAACATACACAAATCTTTTATTAGTTCCTCAAATATATGCAAAACATGAAAAATTAATTGTATATAACTCAAAATTTAGACAGAAAGAAAACTATATAATTATGGTATATTTAGAAAAAATTTTAAATCTTTATGAAGCCAAAAATTCATAGCCATAAATATTGATAATTTGTAATATTTTTAAGTAATAAAAGGAAAATTTAACCTAGGTATTATTTTAATATAATTACACTCCTGCTTACCTCAGATTCTTTGATATTATAAAATCAACACACCTTATTCATTTCAGAAAGTTCATTTTTCCAAACAAACGTTTTCAACCCACTCTATGGGCCATCTTCAGGTTAAAGACGTTCGAATCTACAATGCTTCAAACACCAAGTTTAAATTTAAATATAATAAATTAGAGCTTATGTAATATATTGAAATTGAATTAAGTAAACCAAATATAATGAAAATATTACAAAAATAGAACAAATAAACTAAAATAAAATAAAATATAAAAATACAAGAATTAAACTTCCAAATAAGATCAACACTTATACAGGGTGACAATAATTAACCCGTACAAGTTTTTTGCATTGTAAATTTATTAAAGAAATGAAAATTAGCAAAACAACAGCAGATAGCAGTGACAATATTTTACATATTAATCAGATATTCAGTCAGTTTCAAAGTGGCCTCCTTTTGCTTTGATGCAGAGCCCCAAATGCATTTCTAAATTCTCGGCAATGGGCCGCAGCTCTTCTGGAGACAGTTTGTCTCACTCCCAGCACAAAGATTGCTTCAGTGACTCCAAACTTTTGTGGTGCTTAGCGCAGGCCCTAGCCTCCAAAATAAACCACACACTGTAGTCCATCGGGTTCAGATGCGGTGAGTACAGTGGCCATTCTGCAGACAAGATGAAATCAGGAAAATGAGCTTTTCACCACTCCTGTCTTCTTTGTCCTGTGTGTTGGCACTGAGTCCTGCTGAAACATCCAAAATTCTGCTGAGCCCACAGAAATACCACGGCCTTAAGAATGTCACGGCAATACACGTTTTGATTAATTTTGGCCCCTTGATCGACAAAAACAGGGGGTGTCTTGCCGCTTGCACAAATTCCAGCCCAAACATTGGATTTTTGCAATGTTCGATGATGGCTGAGCATCAGGGAGCCTCCGCGGACCAGTTTCTGTCATTTTGATGGTTGTGCACCTGTTGTATGGAGAAAACCTTCCTGTCTGTGAAAAGAATGCACTCTCATTGTTGACCTGCAGCCTGACGCTTGAGTTGACGGCATCTTTGGAGTTGCATGCACTTTTTTTCATCAATGAGGAGCTGAAACTTTTGGAACTTGTAGGGCTTGAGTCCAAGTTCCTTTTTTGCCATTAACTGCATCGATTCACAATTGATTCCAATCTCACAAGCAATTTTTCTCATGGAGATCTTCGCATGTCAGTCAACTCACTTTTTGATGATCTTGTGGTTTCTAAACGTGTTGATGGTGTGCTTTCTTCCAGTCCATGATGGCCACCATCATGGCCAAGCTTCTTGAATCTCTGAACTGCATCCGAGACTGTCATTTTCAGAACACCGAGCAAACGAACAATTTCATATTGATGCTTTCCTTGCCGGAATAGCTCCAAAATTGCACAACGTTTGTTCAACATCCTTAAAAAAATAAAGAACTAGCCCTTATTACAACGAAAGCACATCTACATGGGCAGGAAATCACGGAGAATTAAACGACAGCATGTAAATTGGTGACAGTAAAAAAGTTCAGGT